CCTAGATGATTTTGGGCTGGAAATAACTCATAATCAACATAATGGCCTGTATTATGAAGGCAACTGTGAAAACAATGGGTCCAAATTCCTGAGGGTGTAGATCACTCAGAACTGTGGTTTGCAAATGACTGAGGACTTGCTCAAATGATGAGACCACCTTCTCTGGAGCTTTAGGTTTGGAGGTAGGATGCTAGGTTGTTTCTCTGGGAATAGCAAAAGACCTTTTAACTCTTCAAGGACTTGTGTAATATAAAGTTGAATAAAGTTCCTCCAATGGTGCGATAGATAACAAAGGTGGTGGGAGTATCTCCAGGAAGATCTTTGTTTTGACTTCGCCTCCATTCTCTCTTTATTAAGTGTGTGCTGGGTGAACTCCTGACATAACCACAGAAAAGATCTTCTTTACCAGGTTTTGCAATTCCACAAACTTGCTCATCACTCGCTGTAGGATTTACTAGCGTGGGGCAGGCCTGAGGCATGGGAAAAGCAGGAAGATGCCTGAGGCAGCAGAGTTTGGGGATGGGGAAGCCAAAATGTTTGACAAGCAAAGAAGTTATGGGCTTGCCACCACACCTGGAGAGGGTTGGCTCAGAGGAGAGGGCTTCTCCATGCACCATCCTCCTTGAATGGCTTAGGATGGCAAGCCTGAGAGACACCCTTGGTCCAAACTTTCCTGGTCCTCTTGTCTTCCCACTGCTCCCACCACCTCTGCCCACAGAGGATGGGGAAAAGAGAGACAGAATGTTCCTACCGCTGCCCCTAAAACACTGCTCACAGATTGGGGAATGGCAAAAAAAAAACCCAAAATGCTCAACGGTGCCATTTTTAGTGAGTAAGGGATTGCAAATCAGCTTTCTGCTTCTCCTCCTGGTGACAAATTCTGGCCCCTGCTGAGGGTAAAAACACAGAGGAGAAAATGCATGAGGTTTAATGCCTCAAAGTTCACCAATGCATTTTTCCTAGGATTCACGGAAACCAACCCGGTCTCTCTAACCACTACAAAGATGAAGAAATATCACTGAGCCACAAGGCAAGGCTTAGACACTGGGATTATTTAATACCCCTGGTCTTACGCATCATGCCTAGACACAGCACCCAGCTTAAACAATATCTCGGCTATTGTCCGCCATGCAAACCCTCCAAAGAATGTGAAAAGAGATGACGGTAAAAAAGAGGTGGGCCCTGCTTTGTAGCTCATTCAATTCATTTAGAGCTCAAATCAGACTTGTTTTTCCAGTAGAATTGGATCTGGGGTCAGAATTGTTACATGGGAAGGTACCAGGAGGTGTGCCGTTAAAGTCAGCGCTGAAGAGTGGTGGCAGCCCAGTGACCAGGTGACGAGAGACCGTGCAAGATGAGAGTGTTTCTGTCTCTTCTGTTCGTTGCCGTTACTTGCATGGAATTTGGTAAGTTCTTGCTCTGATTTATCCAGACTCCTGCAGGAGATGCAGCATGATGGGATTCAGTGTGTCCGGTTCCCTCTGAAGTCCATGCCTCCTACTTTCAGCAAAAAAAATCTGTCTTTGGAATATTTTCAGCCCGTCAGATGTTCAAGATCATCACAGTCTCCTTGGAAATTTTAGTTCAGGATCCTTAGGAAGTGTTACAAGACAAAGTGTGATTACCTTATCAGACTTCTTTAATGAAAATTCCAACTCTGACTTTTTATGTATTCCTGCTCAATTTCTTTTTTTTTTTTTTAAAAAAAAAATCTCTTTCTCTTCCTTTTTTTGATACTTAACCTTGAAGCCAACTAACCGGTTTAATGCAGTGTGTGTAGCGGCTCTCTCTAATTATATGTTGTGTGTGTAGTTTGCTGAACTTCAGCCATTAGAAATGGGAAAGATGGGCTGGGACACAAAGTTGGAGACCCAGATACTGCAGGGCTGATTTTTCCAGCTCTGCCTAGTGGTTTGCATGAAGTCAAAGAAAATTGTGGCAGATCACCTTGGAAAATGAACCGGAGCGAAGCACTTTGAGGATTTTCCCCATTTGAAGGAGTATTCGAGAGTTTGTCACCACATGGAGTGACTCCCACCATCCTCTCTGCCTCCTTTCTGTCCCCCTGCCACCTTGCTGAAGGGGGTGGGCTTGAAACATGTGGCTCAGGTGGGAAGCCAAGAGCAGCCTGATATTAAAGGTGACCCGTCTGGGATGTGGAGATTGGGAACAAGTCCCATGAGTCTAGTTTGTAGAAGGATGCGATGCAAACCTTACCACTCCATACCTTTCGGATGGGGTTTTGAGCAAAATGATTTAGTGGAAGGTGTCCCTGCCCATGGCAGGGGGTGTCAGAACATGATGATCTTTAAGGTCCCTTCCAACCCAAACCATTGTATGATTCCACCAGTGGGATTCAATTGCTTCTCTGCCATCAACTCCATGAAGCCAAACACAGAGGGGTGTTTGTGATATGAGTGTTTCCATTCCACAGGAAATAATCTCCTCATCACAGGCAATCCTACATGAATGGTGATGCCATAACCTCTAATGATGGAAGGTGACAGAACAGTGGAAAGGACCCCATGGCATAGACTCCCCATCCCTCGATGCTGTCACCAGAATAACTTCATAGAATCATAGAATGGTTTCGGTTGGAAGGGACTTTCAAGATTTTCTAGTTCCAACCCTCCTGCCATAGGCAGGGGCACCTTCCACCAGAGCCGTG